CACAGAAAATGATCTGACAAAGCAACATCAACTACATTAACATTTGATTCATTAACCCCCTTTGTAATTAGCAGGTCAAGAGTGTGCCCCCTGTCTCGTGGGAGGGGACACTCACGTGGCTGAATGAAACCAAAGTCTCAAAATCAGAAGCCAGCTCCTTTGAATTTCTGTCATCAACAGTATCACATTGTACATTAAAAATCACCTGTAATAACAACACTTATCAAAATCTGTGCACGACGAAGAAAGTAGTTCAGGTAAAAATGGTCAATAAAATCGCAAATGACTGTGGTGGCCTGTACAGGACAATGAAAAGGTAGAAGATTGCTTTTGTGCCATTTTAAAAGAAATATACTCAAACGATGAAAAATTTCCAAGGGGCATTCTATGGGAGACAAAGTGCTCTCTAAAAACTGCAGCTATGCCTCCCCCCTTTTGTTTTCTCGTATTTTCGGATTCGGAATTTAAAATTGTGGTGGTGTTGCATCTATTAGAACTGGCTTCTGTTTTTGGTCGAGCCATGTTTCAGCCATAAGCATAAAATCAAGATCATAAGAAGTGATAAAATTATTAATTTTAAAATGATTTGTTACATAGATATTGAAATCAAGCATAGCAAGTTTAGTAAATAACGTCAGAGTCGATTAATGTGCGTTGATAGATTTCTACAGGGCACAGAAATTAGATTTGCAGGTTGGACGTCTAAATGCGTCTGTCCTGTTTTGATTTCGTTTTTTTAGAATTTAAAAACATTTTTGAGCTGGTGCGAGGAACAACACAGTCTCAATTGGCCTAAATGTGGAAAACCCTTGTTCGTTGTTCTATAGCTCCCAGGCGTCAGAAGGGAGTCAGCACTGTTAGTGTTTGGACTGTAATGCACTGCCAGACGGACAGGGCGCAAGTGTTGCACCGTTGTTACTCACCGGTGCAGGTGAGCAGGAGGCGGGGGGTGCCGGGGGGTAGAGGGGGGCTCAGATGGTAAACAGTCTCGCCCCTCGGGGACGATGGAACAAACATAAGTATGTAATCCATCAACAGGTGCTACGTATCTGTTTGGGTGTAAATCCGTCTGCGACGATAGGCTTCGTAACGTTTCCAGAAAAGGTGCAAAGTTTATTCCACAAAGGAACAACACGTTAAAGAGCTGCATGTAGCCTGAAGCACACACATGCAGCGGGCACAACACGGCCTGTTAGAAGGCAGAGTCACCTCTGTTTACCAATGATTGGAACAGAAATAAAAACAGATAGTCCGGAGGATTGAAGCGAGGTGGAACAGTCCATAATAATGTTTTCTTCGTGACTTCTGACTGCTGAAGTTTCATGTCGATATTCCCCACAGCACGACTACCTTGGAAACGGTTATCAGGGCAGGGACTGAAGCAGAGGAGGGAGACGGGGATGGAGCAAGGTCTGGTACATAGCCTCCGGGATACAGCGAGAAAGACCGCCCCTTAAAGAAGCGGACGTGTCTCCACGATGGAATCACCAATAATCAGAGTGGTCGGGGCGGAAGAGTGGCTCGGAGGAAGGGAGCTCGGTTGGGACGGAACCCGCGGGTTTCACCCGAAGCGGACCCGAGCCTGAGCGCCGATGAGACACATTGGAGAGGAGGGCGGGGGTGCTGACTCTCAGCTACAGGCGACCCACACTGTTGTGCTCGGGGCGCTGGAGCGGTGAGAGGGGCTGGCTCTGGGCGCTGCTGCTGACCGGTGGAGGTGATGCGGTGGTGATGAAGGCTCGAACACACAGTCTGAGGCTGCTGCACTGGGGTCAAAGAAGGGGAACAGGCCTAAACATGGCTGGTGGACCGCTCTTTCGCCTGAGGACTGCTTCCTTTAGGAGCGTTTTCATCGCAGTGGACTTGGATCCTCGAGCAGTAGAGTACGCTGCAGTGTCCAGGGGATTCTGCTGAGGGGGCCGGGATGTCGGTGGAGAGGGCGCAAGCGGTTTGCCAGACTCAGGACATGGGGCCACGGCGCAGGATGGCTCCTCGGAATCCGCGGGCTCGTATTCGGAAGCGGGGCGCTTAGGTGTTGAACGAGGAGGGGTCCGGAGCTGACGGATCTCTCCACACGACAGGTTGTCACAATATGCAGCGCTCAGTGACATCAGCCGGCCGTGGAGGTGTGCCCCCACCAGCGAGACTTCAAAAAGTTTGGACACTAGAGATTGTGTCTCATTCCAACTCTGCGGTGAGACGAAGGGACTTCTTTCGTAGATCTGCCAATGGTGGAACGGTCGCCTCTCACGGAGCATCCAAGGTGAGGACTAATAATGTGCATATTTGAGCAAATTTCATTGTCACTTTCATGTCCTCGTTAGCTTGTGTAGCCTTGTGCTACTAGTGGGTTTCAGTCGGGACTAAGTTTGCTATTTGCTGAACCACTGAATTAAAAAGATAAAATACACTCAGATATTATTAAAAAAAGCTGAACAAAAAACGCCCCCCGCTAAAAGTTGTTAAAAGTTTACTAAAAAAAGGTGCACAGAGCAGCCCTGCAGCACCTGCTTTACTTTGACACACCTTGCGTTTGATGAGTTGTGAGTGTGTTGCGAGTCATAATATGGCCACTAGTGAAAATAAGTTACTGTAACTGTTGTTGTATTAAATCAGTAGGAACATTTTATTTTGACACTGCCAGTCTCAACCGGAAGGCGAGTGGCTCGCGCACACATCAGACGGAAAAACCTTTACAAAGTGTATGGACGTTTCACACAGTGGTCTAGACAAACGGTCATAGAAACTGCACTTATATGGCATAAAAGACAAAGACAAAGTTTAGTACAGTTGAGATAGAAGGGAACAAGGTATGGATGGATTTTATTTGGTGTTAACAATTGTAAAGTTTCTTTAAAATGTGTAAAAGTTAAATAGCAAAGTAATGTAACGGGTAACAATGTATTTGATGCTAGATAGTATTTGGACATGATTGTAAGTTGATTTTCAAGTTCTGAGTAGTTCCCAAAGTGAAAATTATAAATGTTTGTCCAAAAAGTCTGAAAGAAGCAAAATGCATGAAACAAACCAGAACACGTACTCATCTTAATTCTATTCTATTCTAGCATGTAGTCTGATTCAAGTATAAATAATGTTTTTTTTACTGATATAGCTACACTTTTTAAAATAAAAAAGTATATAATTTTTGACTACGTAAAGGTCACTATATAAAGTCATAGTAATGTTTCTTTTTGTAAGGCCCCCCCCCCCCCCCCCCCCCCCCCCCCCCCCCTCTACAAACTTTAGTATCTAAAAGTTATGGGTAAGGTACTTTAAAGTATTCGCATTATATACTTTTTTTGGTAAGATTTTAAACTCTGAAAAAGCTGTTTGCATTTCAGTCACTCAAAAATTTCAACAGCACAAAAATATTCGCTTTACAAATTTCATTGTAAGGAAAAATTTCAAAATTTACATTATCGCTTTTAAATATCCAATATGTTCTATTTTTGAGCCACCAAAATCAAAGCACTGTCAAAATTTTAAGACAAAAGAGCAGATTTTGTTTCATCTGATTTTGAATTTTTAATGGGACCTCATTATCAATTTCATTATTTTTTAATTTCAAAATAAAAACAGATTTGATGAATATAGTTTCCAGAAGCTTAGATTTAAACGGTCTATTTAGCAGCTAAAAAACTAACAATTCACATGGACCATCCCAGTGTTCTGACGATTTGTGTGCTTCTGTCAGTTTGCACATGCGTGCAAATGGACTTTTCTCTCTTCACTGAAGATGAAATACTCCTCGTTGACTGTATCTACGTTACTATGGAATACATTAGTTTAACATTGCTGTCTTTCTCCGTTACTATGGATACATTAGATTACACATTGCAGTCTCTCGTTGACTATGGATATGTAGCCCATCTAAAATGTATCCCAATTTTGTGTTTTTTTAATCATTCAAATGTATGAATTTATGCAAATTACAATATCGTAATGTTGTTAAAAAAAAAAAAAAAAAAAAAAAAAAAAAAAAAAAAAAAAAAAAAAAAAAAAAAAAAAAAAAAATAATAAATCAGGTCATTCACTGCTAACTTATTTCAATGTGTATTACTTGTAGCGTCAGTTGGTTTAATTGAGTTTAAAGTGAAGCCAGAAATGATGGTTAAATGAAGTTTATTTTGTTCCCTTCCATATATTATATAACCGACGTAAGAAGCTAGAAAAGAACTGAAAATCACTCTACAATCATGGTCCAAATACTATCTAGCATCAAATACATTGTTAACCGTTTACATTACTTTTGCTATTTAATTTTACACATATAAAGAAAACTTTACAATTGTTCACAAATAAAATCCATCCATACCTTGTTCCTTCTATCTCAACTGTAGCTAAACTTGTCTTTGTCTTATATTTTGGCCATATTAGTGCAGTTGCTTTGATTGGGGGGGGGGGGGGTCCGTTTGCTCTAGACCAGTGTGTGAAAACGTCCATACCTTTGTAAAGTTTTTCCGTCTGATGTTGCGCGAGCCACCTCGACTTCCGGTTGAGACCAGGACGTGTCAAAATAAAATGTTCCTAGAGGATAATCACAACAACAGTTACAGTACTTATTTTCACTAGTTGCCATATTATGACTCGCAACACACTCACAACCTTTAGGCTTCGCTTAATGCCATAATCTCTCGGAAGCATCGTTCCGGCCCATGAGAGAGATCAAACGATCCACCCTCCAATCACATTCACTTCCTGGCGTAGGCCCAGTCCCCCTATAAATAGGGCCCTGCACCACAGCCTTCTCCTTTCTCTCCTCAGCTTGCCTAAGTGAAGCTTCGAACATTTGCTAAGATGTCTTCAAGCAAGATCCCCCGCGCCTGAGAACGTGCCTCCCTCCGGTGGTCAGGCTGCGGATCTCACTCTCAGACTGGACCGCACGATCTCCAGGTCTTCTGCCTGGGCTGGCGTCGTGCCCGCGGGAGAAAAGCCCCAGATGTGTGGCTTGGTCTCGCGCTCCCTGGGGTAAGGATGCGCGATTGACGACCGTGGATTATTCAGGCCGCATAGAGTGGGGGGGGAGTGGGGGGGCCGAGGTGGTGGGGGGGTGCGGCCGGATGCGTGGCGCGGGGAGGATGCCGGGGGTGGCAGGTGGGTTGCCCTTGTGGGGGTGTGCTGGCATCTGGGGCGTCGGCGGGTGAGTACCAGGATTTGTAAGGGGGTTGCGGTGTGCGGCAGGCAGCGGGTCTGTGCGGGGGGCGGCCGGGGGTGGAGGACTCGAGCTTCAGCTGGAGGGTGGCTCTCGCTGGGAGGCAGTCGGCGCTCATGGTGTGCTACCCTCTATCCACGCTGAAACACATCACTTTGCTCGCTTCATCCCTGGAGTGGTGCCCATGGTGGCTCGCTCAAGGTGTGCTACGTTCTGCTCACGCTGGACAGGCGTAATACTACTGCACCACAGATAGTTGCTTAATAACATCACTCTCGGTGCCCATGGTGGCTCGCTCAGGGTGTGCCTCCGCTTCACTATATCAGCCGCGAGGGGATAGGCCCATGACAGCCCATTCCCCGGCGCTAGCGTATAGAGTATACGTGGGGGCGGAGGCCTGGCCTTGGCAGTCAGGTTTTCCTCTCATGGAGGATGGAGTACGCCTGTACACCAGCTTCCTCCGGGGTCTGGGCTGGCACCCCCTCCCCCGAGCGGGGCAAGCCGGCCGTGTCCATGCTTGACAGGTGTTATGCTTGTGCATCATAGGTTGTTGCTATGGCTTGTAACATTACTCTCCTCGCTGCATCCCTCGGACAGGGACCGCTCTGCCACCCCGCACTGCTCAGAACCAAGAGGAGACAGCAAGCATGTGACAAGCAGAGGAACAGCAGCCACCCCGGCTTTGCAGCTGCAAGGAGGGGAGGGAAACGCTTTAATAAAGGCCATCATCAGGCCGTTACTCCCTCAAAGAGAACACTTCTTTCCCCTTTTCCTTATCCTCCGCGCTTGGCCAACGCTGCTCATCTGCCAAGTGCCTGGAGCCTCTCTCAGCGCTCCTCTCGTGCGCGCGCTGGTGGCATGCTCCGGGACCGCTGTGCGCTCCCCGTGCCTTTGCCTCTCTTGGGCAGAGAGTGCGTGGCTGCACGCTACCCTCAGCCACGCACAGACCTTTTTCCAGCGGCCTCCCACTATCCAGAGCAATGAGTGGTACTGCTCCCCCCCCCCTCCTCAGTCCTCAGTGTTGGGGAGCGGGGGCTCGGCTCCACGTAAGCGCAGCACACCTGCCCTCACGTGGCCACCCAGAAAAAGGGCCCAGGGCCGCAGCTAGGGCCCAGCCCTTTTCCCAGGGTTCCCCCACTGCAAAAAGTGGGACTGCTCGGCCCCCTATCAGTCCACAGTGTTGGGGAGCGGGGGCTCGGCTCCACGCGGCCACCCGGAGAAAGGCCCTGGGCCGCAGCTACGGCCCAGCCTTCTTCCCAGGGGCCCCCCCACTGCAAAAAGTGGGACTGCTCGGCCACCTCTCAGTCCACAGTGTTGTGGAGCGGGGGCTCGGCTTCACGTAAGCGCAGCACACCTGCCCTCATGCGGCCACCTGGAAAAAGGCCCAGGGCCGCAGCTAGGGCCAAGCCCTCTTCCCAGGGGCCCCCCACTGTAATAAGTGTGACTGCTCAGCCCCCTCTCAGTCCACAGTGTTGGGGAGCGGGGGCCCGGCTCCACGTAAGCGCAGCACACCTGACCTCAAGCAGCCACCCGCCGTCACGCGGCCACCCGGGAAAAGGCCCAGGGCCGCAGCTAGGGCCCAGCCCTCTTTCAAGGGGCCCCCCACTGCAATATGCGGGACTGCTCGGTCCCCTCTCAGTCCACAGTGTTGGGAAGCAGGGGCTCGGCTCCACGTAAGTGCAGCACACCTGCCCTCACGCGGCCACCCAGAGAAAGACCCAGGGCCGTTGCTAGGGCTCAGGCCTTTTCCCACGGGCCCCCCCACTATCCGATGCCTCCCCAGGATGGGACATCTGTGGGCGGACCAGGCCTTTCTCCCTCCTCCCATCCCGCTGTGCTTCCCTTGACCCATGTTGTCACCGTATCGGAACAGTCGGGACTCCGGGGAACTCTGGATACCAAGCCCCGGCGATCCAAGATGGCGCCCTATTCAAATGAATGGTTGTGCTCAGTGGCGCTTTGTGACAGCATGGGGGCTGAAAGATTAGCGGAAGTTGCCTGAAACTCGCAAAGATCTATGGGAAACTCGCCTGTATTTGGGCATTGTCTGGTCCTCCCGGTTCTGCGCAGTGGATGATCTCCCATAATGCGTTGCGCCAAACACGCGTGTGTGGGTCTAACACCGGGTCTCACGCACGTGCACAGAGGGGCTCGGCCGCGCTCTGACCAATCAGAGCAGTTCATCATAGCGGGAGTTAGAGCGAGAGCCAGAGGAGCAGAGTTTGTGGCACTAAAGTGTGGATTTAAACAAAACCGAAGGATTTAAGAAGAAAAAAAGTTCAGGATGACAAGGGACACTAAAATCCCCACAAAATCCGATCTTTATTAAAGCTGTAGGTTCTCTGTCAGCTGAGGTCGAGCTGTTTTAATATGCATTGAGTTCTATGGGGAAAAATTCTGGGTAGCCCACGTGAATTTAGTCTGGTTCAGTCTGCAGTACCGCGAGAATCCCCTGAGCACGTGAGTTATTCAGCTACAAGCTAGTAATACCCTATCCAGTTAATATAATACATCCATGGTGGATACACAGAGTGCCGAGTTGGGGCTATGCTCTCCAGTTCTCCTGGCGGCCCCCTCCTTTCTGCGGCATTCTCCAGAACGCCGTGGCACTTCACAGGGAGGTCAACACGCTTCTGCAGCGCCGGGCGGTAGTGGAGGTAGACCCGCTCAGGGCAGGGACAGGGTTTTACTCTCCATACTTCATAGTCCCTAAAAAAAAAAAAAAAAAAAAAAGTGCGGAGGGGTGCGGGCCATGCTGGACCTGCTCGTCCTCAATGGCTGCATAGCCAAGTGACTGTTTCGCATGCTAAGTAAGTAAGTAAGTAAGTAATCTTTATTTATATACCGCCCTTCACAGACCAGAGTCACAAAGCGGTTTACAATTGTTATTTTTGGGCACTTGTCCTCTCACTCCACACAGAGATGGGAGCGGGGTCGCCGAACAGGAGGCGCATGCCAATCCTATATTGTACATATTTTTAGTGGTAGGGGAAACCGGAGTACCCGGAGGAAACCTACGCAGACACGGGGAGAACATGCAAACTCCACTCAAAAAGGCCCTGGTCCGGCCGGGATTCGAACCCAGGACCTTCTTGCTGAGAGGCGAGAGTGCTATCCACTCAGGCACCGTGCCGCCCCGTGCTCACAGTAAACACCTACTCCCTAACCCCCCCGCACCTTTTCCAAGTGTGTGGAGGCGGCGCTAGAACCCCTTCGGCGTCAGGGCCTCAGGACACTGACGTATATCAACGAATGGTGATCCTGTCCTCCCGGGAGGATGCGCAGGATCAAACGTCCAGAGTGTTAAATCACGTGCTGCACATGCGATATCTCCAGAGGTGGTTCTCACACCTCAGGGGCTTATCACGGAGGCTGCGACTGTCGGTGAGGGCTCAGAACGACGTCGCCTTCTGGCTGTCCCCAGGTCGACTCCAGGAGGGAGTTTGAATGGGTGTTGTGGACCACCACATCGAGGTCTTCACGGACGCCTCACTGAGTGGTTGGGGAGGCGTGCTCGGCCACCACTTGACAGGAGGCGTTTGGTCCTCCCCCTTGGAGCACATCAACCTCCTGGAATTGGAGGCGATGCGGTTGGTGCTGGCCCATTTCATGACCAGACTGGAGGGCCAACAGGTGATTGTTCGGACGGACAACACCACTGTGGTGCACCGGTCGTGGCCCAACGGTCTCCTCTACGCCTTCCCGCCTCTCCGGCTCTTGGCAGCCCTGCTTTACAGGGTGAGGACGGAGGGGGTCTCCATCCTGGTGGTGGCGCCGGACAGCCCGGGAGCCAGGTGCTATCCGGACCTGGTGAGCATGGCGCTCAGTCTGCCTTGGCCCGTTCCGGACCGTCCTGATGCTCTGAGACAGGCAGGGGGAGCCCTTTACTCACGCCCTGTCCTGGGAAGCAGGCTCATGTTGAGTCTTGGTCTCCCTCCCTCAGTGGTCGCTACTATTCAGGGTGGGAGGGTTACATCCACCACCAAAGCATATGAGGTTCGCTGGAAACTCTTCGCCTCTTGGTGCGTGGACAGATGTTGGACCCCACCTAGTGTTCCATCCAGGAGGTCTTTGCTTTTCTCCAGTTCTTGCTGGAGAAATGGAAGGGCGGCCGCCACTCTGGGTGTGTTCGCGGCGGCCATTACCACTGGGCACGTGGGGTTTGGTAGCCACTCTGCGCGGTTCCTACGAGGGGCCCGCAGGATCAGGCCTCCCTTCCGGCGGTCAGCTCCGTCTTGGGACCTTCAGGTGGTCTTGGCTGGCCTTTCAGGGCCTCCATTTGAACCCCTGGACAATGCGACCATTGCCTGATTGTCCTACAAAACGGCATTGTTGTGGGCGTGGGCTTCGGCCAAGAGGTCTGGGGATCTGTGCGCCTTTTCCGTGCAGCCGTCTTGTTTGTCCCTCCCCGATCGGGAGGGCATGATTGAGTTGTGCCCTATCCCGGCCTTCCAGCCCAAGGTCGTCACGTCATCTTTCAGATCTAGGGTGGTCTGGGTGAGACCGTTTTTCCCTCCTCCGGTCAGGGCTGTGAGATGCTATTTGGACCGCACGTCTGACCTCAGACGGTCGGATCAGTTGTTTGTGGGGTTTGGCACCAGGAGTCAGGGTGCTGCTTTGTCTCCACAGCGCTTGGCTCACTGGCTTCGCCTTGCTATCCGTTTGGCGTATGAAGCTCAGGGCTTGCTGCCTCCAGCCCAGCTGAGGGCTCACTCCACTCGCGGGGTTGCCGCTTCGGTGGCTTTGTTCCATGGCACTTCGATGGAGGAGATCTGCAGAGCGGCGTCTTGGTCCTCTTCTTCGACTTTTGTGCAGTTTTACCTACTGGAGGTGGCCTCTGACTCTGTGGCTCATTCGGTTTTGAGTGCAGGGCGGCCCTAGTTCCTCCTTCGACAGACCTCGATGAGAACTCGTCTGCGGGGGGGGGGTTGTGTGGAGAGGTGTTGGCGCTCTTGGGAGAGGCGGCCTGGACATCTCTGCAGTAAGTAGTAAGTAAGTAAGTAACTAATCTTTATTTATATACCGCCTTTTCACTGCACATCGGAGTCTCAAAGCGGTTTACAATTGTTATTTTTGGAAGTGGGGGTGCCAGTACAAGAGGCACATGCCAGACCTATT